TTTTTTTTTCTTCCTGGTGACCACATCATTTGGTATCACTTGAAGGCCTTTCAATAGACATCTTTTTCTGGATAATTTGGGAATTTCTCAGCTTGGATTTGTAAAAATAAGCATAAAGAGATTCTCAAAGGAAGATGTTATTGAAAGTGAGGTATCGATGACAGAGCCTAATGAAGTGAAGCCCTTTAAAGCAGGTGTTTCATCAGCAACCTGTGGTTAGAATCAGAATTCTTTTTCATTGCACAAGTGCTTGTCTAAAATGCTAATTCATGCATAATTTGTCCCCAAGTGATGCAGTCTAACCACAGCCACACCTCACTGGCCACTTAGCTTATGCATACTAAACAAAAATATAAATGCAGATTTTAAAAAGACATTAAGAAAATCTGATGGCTGAAATGGATTGATTAGGCTCTTGGTCACATGTCCTAAAAAAGAAGGTGAGTCGTGGGAAAGAATTCCCACAATCATATGAGGCGTGTCTGTGACACAGCACCTGAGTTGATGGGGCTGTTGATTGTTGCTGCACTTTTCAACTGCTGTATGAAGTTACCTGATATCAGTGAGAGCTGCAAAAGATGGTCATATGTGTCGATCCAGAGTATGCAGGCCATGTGGTCTGTGATTACAGTGCTGGTTGGACTCAAACCGCATTGAAGGTGGCTTAGGGTACCAAAATGGACGTCCATGATTCTGGCGACAGCTCTATAGCGCCTCCCTGCACCTGGCATTGTGATGGTGCACATATCAGACTGACATTTCATTGGTACCATAATAAGGAACATCTGTCTAGTGATTCTTCTGCTCAAGTCATTTTGATATTTCACACAAGTGCAAATGCCAAATTTGAGCTACAAAAAGATCCTGGATTTTTGTTTATTTTTTTTTTGTTCAGTGTACTCCTACCCGAGAGCCTGTTATTTGTGGAATGGGGATGCATAATTTTGGGTGATGGTGAGACTGTGGTTGGAGTATATGACCAATCCACAGGCAGCCTCACACTGGCAGGGAAGAGGAGCGATGGGGATGGCTTCAGTGTCTCCAGAATCCAGTCACTGACTGTGCCTTTGCTGTACAGTGAGCCTGTGCATCCGGACCTTGCTAACGTTCATAGGCCGTGATTGTGGTGCGTTCTGTTCGTTGTTCTAGGCCGAGCGACACAGGCTACACTCCCATCACACGCTCGTCTCCTTGGCTCTGCCACCCTACAGACCTCAGCATCCCACTTCAGCAGTCCCTGAGTCCTGCAGCGGGCACCAGTTAACTCTTTCTTGGTCGTCTACGGAAGAAGCTTTACAGAGACTGCAATTCAACCCACCTATTGCTTCCTGAGGATGTGATGTGAAACTTGGCATCTCTATGTACCTTTATCCTGGATGGACCAAATATTCATGAACCAAGAATCATCGCACTTATTAGCGCTTCGTGTGGACAGTTAGCAGTGGTTTCCCTCTGTATCCAGAACAGCTTACTGCTTTGCTTATGTAAATAATGTAAAGCAATAAGATGACACTGCTCTTCTGTTAGGTAGGACCATAGTGTTAATGAAGTGGTTTTGTTTATAGATTGTATCATGGACAGAAATATAAAACGGTGGAAGGAACAGGGATATTATTGAATTATGTTTCAATATTTTCATTTATAATAAAAGTAATACCCAAATAATTCTGAAACCACTGTGGTATTCGCTACCTACCAGTGAGAGGCAGCTGTCACTATTCCCCCCATCCTATCAGACAAAGTAGCAGTGCTATTCTCAATGATGCATATTGCTCCAACACCTGTACTTTCTGCTTTTCCATCCATCCATTTTCTGAAACCGCTTAATCCCTATGCTTTTCCATGTATAAGATAAAGTGCTGTTTCGCAGAAATTAGGGCGGTGTCCTTATTTGTTGCTAATACACAGTTTACCAAACATTATGGCGAATCATAACTTATACAAGATGAAATTCCAGCACTCTCCTTTTCATATGAAGTGTATTTTTTTTTCCACTCACAGAAGGAGAATGGAATTGGAATGAAAACCACCCAGACAGCAAGGCCCTGAGAAGGGAAATACAGTGAGGGAAATATAGGAATTCAACAGGGGGTCAACTACTTAAGTTGACCTATTTATAAAGAAATGAGAAGTCTATAATTTCAATGGTAGGTTTAACATCAGAAGACAGATTTTCAACAAAACAAGAAAAACATCATTATGTAACTGGTACAAATCAATCTGTCATTTATCTAGGGAAAAAAGTATTTGATCTCTTGGAACACATGCTTTAGTAGTTGGTGAAATAACCTGTGTTTGTAAGCACAGCTGTCAGACGTTGTAGTTGGTCACCAGGTTTGCATGCAGGTCATCAGGAATTTTCATCCACTCCTCTTTGCAGACCTCCAAAACGTTAAGGTTTTTAGTAGGGTGACCAGATAATCCATGTCAGGGAGGACACTTTGAGCTACTTCGGGTTTTACAAACTACTTTCAAATTGAAAGGCTCCTGTGCTCGGCTAAATAGTTCAGCTCTTCTTGTGCTTTGACTGGTTTGTTTCCTT